ACCAAAAGGTCAGCAGTTTGAATCCACCAGCTGCTCCTTGGAAACCCTATGGGGCAGTTCTACTCTGTCCTATAGGGTCACTATGAGTCGGAATCAACTTGATAGCAATGGGTTTCGTTTTTTGGTTTTATTACACACAAAACAATATCCAAACTACTTGGTCTAGCTCTTGATGCCTTCAAAAAAATCTCATTTTTGACTTCTATTTTGAACCATATCTCCTCTCCTTCCAGTCAAGTCAGACGTAGGGTTTCAGATAAAATAAAGGATGTCCAATTAAATTTGAATTTCAGTTAAATAACAAATAACTTTTTAGCAGATGTCTGTCCCAAATACTGTTTGTGACATATTTACTTATACAGAGTTATTATTTATTGTTCACCTGAAAATCAAATTTAACTGGGCACCCTGTATTTTTATTTGCTAAATCTGGCAACTCTAGTCAGACAAGTCTATTCTCTATCTCCCAAATACTATAGGCATATTACTACCTATGAAACTTTACTTATGAATTTTAAATGAGATAACATATGGAACATACTCAGAACAATGCGGAGCCCACAATAAGCATGCAATAATGGTAATATTATAACTCTTCTGAACTTGTAGGTCCAGCTCAATTCCCACTGGCCTTCTTTAGCCCACTCCAGCCCACAATATAATCTCTCTGCTCTGTCTCATATTTAATACAACACTAATTGCCTACTTTAATCATTTCATAGTTTATGTCTTACCAGCTTGGCTGCTAATCAAGAGGTCAATAGTTCAAATCCAGCAGCCGCTCCTTGGAAACTCCATGGGGCAGTTCTACCCTGTCATATAGGGTCACTATGAGTCAGAATCAACTTGATGGCAACAGGTTTTAACCCTAAATTTCTACCTCATATAAATCTTTGACAAATAAAACAGAATTTTTAAATAAAGCATTTTAGATTTTACCAAAATTATCAACCTTTACTCTTAAATCCCAGCTTAAACTCCAGTGTGCATGATTAAAGTACTCTAGCTGACCCACATATACACATGGGGATATAGTTTTAAGTAAACCCCACAAAAAGTGAGCTGTAATGATATCTACAAACCAGAGATTCATTTACTCAAATGATACCTGACGTGTTTGTAGTTACGAATTAATCAGATCTCTGCACTATTATCTTCCAATTAACCTGCTGCTTTATATTTGGCTAAAACCATTGTAAAAAAGCAAAAGTATGTGTGTGAGAGTGTGTGTGTTTGGGTACACGTGTGCATACACCCACACATGGGTGTACCAACAAAATGGAGGTACACATTGTAGATGTCTCATCATATTATAGGGTAGCATATTATTTCATTATAATTCCTTTAAAAACTACTTTGTCATGGTCCAGTTGGCTCATGACCTTTGGAATACAGAAGTTAGTAAGCCACGGGGTTGGATTCCACTTTTATCCTTCCATCAATCAGTCCAATGAAGGGCTGCTCATAAAAACTACACACTTAATTTTGTAACTGAGGTTGAATACACGTAAAATTTCATTAAGTTCAAATTTTCTAAAACTTGTTTCTTAAAAGGGACATATATAAAAGTAAGCATGCAAATAATCAGCTCAGGAAAAACTAATCTTTCCTGTTTTTCATGATGATCTGTAAAACTCACAATCTTACCAAGTAATCACATTCAGTTATTAATGGAAAAAAAAAATCTCACAGAGCCTAAAATCATGTTCCCGGTTATACAAGATACTTAAATTATAAAGACACTCAAAAATCTGTTCATGATCAAATAATAAAATTATGAGATATTATTCAAGGTAAGCTACTTCTAAGAAAACCTACACACACACAAAAATACTAACTACATTATTAACCACTGCTTCACCTCAGTCACAATCATGGTCTAGCTCAGAATTCAGATCCTGGCTTGGCTACTTATTAACATGTACCTCTCTGTGTCTCAGTTTTCTTATCTATAAAATGGGAGCCCTTTCTCCCAAAGTGGTTGTGAGGATTAAATGAAATGCTTAGAACAATGCCTGAAACATGGCAAACATTCAATAAATGCTAACTCTTACTCTTAAATTGTTTCCCAGTTTAATCTCTTCAGGCCTGCCTCCAACCTAGGACTTATTCACAAGACTAACTTTTGGAAATAAAAAGGTAATTGAAAGAAAGCACTTTGGTTTGCCACATTAAAATAAACCTCCAAGATCCAATTTCTGCCTCTTTAACTCCCTCAACAAATTTGTCTTTTTCACTCTCATCTGCTATGATGTTCGCAGGCCAGGCTACTCAGCTAATGGGAATCAGTCATGAATAACCAGTTTCATGGGTCTTTCTATGAACTCCAAGTGTTTTCACCTTTTTTAAAGCTCATTTATAAATGTCCTCCATAAAACTTATTTCCATAACTCCTGCTAACTTAGTTTCTCTTTATAAAATAAGTTTTACATTCCCACATGGTATTTATAGGTATGTTCCATGCATTATAGAGCAACTCTCCAAGAAAGAAATATTTCATTTGTGAAGTAAATTATTTTCCTAGTTTATATTGGTTAGAGGAGTAATGCCAATTATCATGCAACATATTAGTTTCCAAGTCAATAAAACTCTTCCTTTTTAAAAGTTTCATAATGTAAAATACTGGATTCTGAACTTGATTACAGTAATACCAAATGAATAAAAACTACAGTTTAGTGATGTTATCTGAACCTATTCCAAATTAATCTAGGTTATCTGGAGGAAAGGGCACTTTAACAGAGAAGCACATTTACCTTAAATCCAAAGACTAGTAAAACTACCATTAAAAACCGGAAACACTTAAAATGAAATTATTTACAAAATTTTAAAGACTGTTAAAATTGATATTGGTATGAGAAACTCCTGATTTCACACACTTAAAATTATTTGGGGGTAAAAAAAATCCAGGCTAGGCTATTCTATATTTGAAATCAGTAACAGGCCTCAGGGCTCACTAACTGTGTAAATTCAGTCAATTATATATGCCACTGTTTCCTAAAATTTCGATTACAACTAATTTGACAATGGCCTTTTGCTTTAAATTGTTTATTTCCTAAAAATTTTGGTAATGTTTTAAACCCTGGGCATTAGACCCAGGGTCCACAAATGTTTTCTATAAAAGGCCAGATAATATTTTAGGGTTTTCACACATACCATCTCTGTCACATATTCATTTTTAGTTTTTTTCCTTACAATCCTTTGAAAATTTAAGAACCATTCTTAGCTCAGCCCCTATAAAAATAGGCCACATCCAGATTTACCCTTGGCCATAGTCTTCCCACCTCTGGTTTAGACTATATGTATTTTGTTATGTCAATTCCAGTGTGATATTTTCTCCTTCAAATATTTGCTCAAGTGTCACCTTTTAATGAGGCCTTCTCTGAATATGTTCTTACCTGTCCCCTATATATATAATACCATATAACATATAGTGCTAGTCCCTAACACCCTATAAATTTACTTATCATCTTATCCTTGTCATGCCACCACCCCCAAAAAATGTAAGTTCCATGAAGTTTGATTTTTTTTTTTTTTTTTTTAATGTATCTCCTGCACCTAGAACAGTGACAGGTATATTAGCAGGCTTTCAATAAACATGTTTAATAAATCTACCCTCCCACTTATAAAACAAGCACTAAAAAAACCCAAAACCCGTTGCCATTGAGTCAATTCTGACTCAAAAACAAGCACTATGGGGGAAATAAACATCCTATATGAGATAAATTAAAAAGAGCAAAAAACTTCCAAGGACAAGATTAACAAAGGGAATACTTTCATTTTAAAATTCTTTGAAGTAGTCAGAAAATATTTGAAATAAAGGCAAAAAAGGTGAAATTTTCAAGCATTTTCTTACTGTACCACAAAGTAAGGTTAGTTCTGATAGTTTTAATTCCCTTGAAACTAAGTTCGCCATTACTTCAGCTTCTTTAGTAACAAATTTCAATTGTTATTCCTAACCCTCTCAGCAGACCTGTTCTGTCTTCTTTGATCTCATCTGTGTGTTCCCTGCCTATTCAACTCACTGATCTAGTCTGGCAACTTTTTCAAGTTTGGCAAAGCAAGAAGTTACTTTGCCTCTTCTATGGCTTGTCTCCCAACATTTCATTTAAAAACTTCCTAATACTGTAATCTTTCCTATCTTGTCTTTTACTATTCAATATAAACAAAGCAAAAAGCTAATTCTATTGAATATTCAATTTAATGTTATGCTGCAAATACATTATGCTCAGTGATCAGTCAGACTTTAATTGCTATATGTGGTTTTACAATTTTCTACCTATAACAAGAGAGATGACTTATTGTAATCCTGACATACACTTGGTAAGGTACTGAGAAAATAACTTCGCAAACTTTGTAAACTCCATCACCATTCAGATTATGGCTACTATATTTCTAAACTTACATTAAAGCATAAAAACCCATCAAAGAGTAAAATATTTTCTACTGCTAATACTGATAATAATTGATATTCATTAATAAATCACAGTACTAAATGTATTAATAAACACTAATGTGGGAATTATAGATCACATTAAGGCAGTCTAACATCAAACTACAAAAATTACTGATCCAGGAAGGAAAGCTTACCAGAAGGGAAATTATTTTTTTAAAAAAATACCCTTTTACCCAAGTTATTTTGTTTACTATTTCCTTTCTAAATGGCTACAATTCCTCCAATTATATCAGGCAAGCAACTTGGACCTCTAAAAGACAAACTTTAAAATCCAGAAGTCTACTGTCAAGGGTTAAGACGACTCCTTAAACCAATTCTTTAGACACAATTCTGTACAACTAAAAATCATAAGGTTGTAATTTTGAAAAAAACAGTAGCACAGAAGACTGCTATAGAACTTTAATTTTTAAAAATCATTTTCAACTGTTTTGGTGTCCTACATTATCATGAAAATCAGATTAAACTTGGTGGAACTACAAGAGGGCAAACCTCCTTATACAGCCAGCATACAAGAACCAAACTGATCCTTCTTTTTGTTCTTATAAAAGCCAGCAGACTCCCAAATTAAATCATTTATACCGTATTTCCATGGAAAAATAAGATAAGCCCAACATACCACGTCCCACTTACCTAGTTCAAACGAGTAACGTAACGTGAGAAACTGCACTGTGTAATTCCTTTATTCTCTGCAAATTAGTGCTTTATCAACACTACAACCATAAAGAACACAATTCCAAGAACTGTACTTTTTAGTTTGGGGAGATCACAGTCTACAGACTCATTTACTTATATCAGACAAGATTAACCTCATTCAAAACTTAACTGCAGTTTATAAATTCACATAAATACAAAAGTTGATGCAATTAAACAAAAACTTCAAGATTTTATTTAAGTTCTTAGATTATAACTTTTTCTGCAGGTTATAATTACCTGCCCCATGATCACCAATAGTTATGCTTCGATTTACCTACATCAATTATAAACCTTTTTATATCCTTAAAGAAAATGTGAGAATTACAATTTCTTACCAAAGGAGCTAGGGTTTTCCAATTTTCAAGTATTTACTTCTCCCTCCCCCCTTTTCAGTCAGGCATTTCAAATAAACCAAAAATAGCCACATCTCACCTGCAACATTCAAAATCAATCACTTGATGTATAAAATTTTAACTATGCCCCCACTTATTTTAAGACATACACAAAAAAAATGGCTGCCTACCATCTGTCACAAGTTAGAAATACTACATTTAAAAATTAACATGAGGGTTTCAAGTTTCCTCCAGTTTAGGCATTTATACCTTTGTGCTTGTCTTGTTTCAGGATGTTCTTACAGCATTGATATTTGTATAATCCACGTTAATACACCTTAAAATGTAATCATTTAAAACACTAAGAATTAAATTTATGGCGGAGCTTTGGGAGCTTTAAAGGCAACCAAAATGTTCTTAGATGCATTTGTCAGCCTCATTTGTAGATACCTCCACTAAGGTGAAATTGAGAACTTTATATTTCAGTTGCATATTAAATTCAAAAATCCCTTTGCACCATTAGGAGCCTACAACATAGCACCTCATCTGCTTTAAGGAAAACGTTTGTCAAAAGTTTTATTGTGAATAGCTAATTTTTTATAACCTTATGCTTCTCATACATCTTTGGTAAAAGCTCCATTACACAATATGGCCAAAGTGTGAAGGACCAATACTGTCCAACTATACCATGATAACCCGCTCAATTTTAGTTTTCAGATACCCTCATTAACGAAACTTTTTCCTGTATATTGTCTTTTCAGTCTTCAATTCTCAAATTCCCTAAGTTTAACTCCTTGAGGATCTCTAAAATTAATCCTTAAGGCTATATAAGAACCAGATGCTGCTTCACAATCCTCTATCAAGCATTAACATCTGGTTCAAAGTATTATCATAGTGGTCTCAACAACCTAGTTACTGGTCCTAACCAGTTAAGCAAGTCATCTTGTTAGGATCCAGATATCACCAGTGAGCACACTGCTTACCCTTCAAAAATAAGTTTACATTCATTGACACCTGTAGGTTCTTTCTCTTCATCCTACTTCCCCTTTGTCATTCCTTAAGTCTACACATCATTAATTCCATCACATTTCCTTCCTTAAAGGAGATGGTGTATTACTGAACCAACAAGATATCTTACTACTTGCATGAGTTGATTTTACAACTTAACAAAGTTATTTTTATGAAATGTTTTCCAGTGTTCTATTTCATGAAGACGTAGATCACTCTTGTGTAAAAAAATGATTTATATGTTCAGCTTAATCAGTTGCTGTAATGTGGAAACAGGAATGTGTAATTTTTTCAACTAGGTAAAATGTGCATATAATTTGAATTGTTAAATGCATTATTAATGAAAACGTAAACACTTAAATAATTTTAAATCTACTTGTCTTAGCTGTTCAAAATAAAGAAAAAGTGTATTTTCCAGATTTGCCAAAAAGTCACTTAAAGTATCTACAAATACTTCATCTATTTGTGGCATACACCATTATTGCTCCATTTTCTGGAAAGTCTAAAGTTAAAATAAGGGAAAACACAGCAAAGTTGCTAACTTTGCAGTGAGAAGATTTGTGTCCGTGACGGGTTACACTTTCAGATTCTAATGCAGCATAGTTAGCTATGTTATGGGGAAGCTGGGTTTTATCTCTACTCATGCATGATGTATGTTTCAGAACTTAATAGCTGACATTTCAAAGAACTTCTTACATTACCTGTTCAACATACTGATGTGCAACTGGAACATATTACAATGATATTACTCATTATTTGCCACTGTGGGCTAGATTTACTACACTTGTCTTAGATATAAAAGGTCACATTTGAAATTACTAAGTTAAAATTAGAACTCATAAGGGAGGGAAAAAGGCCTTAAATATAAAAGACAAACGGCAGTTTGATTAAGCAATAATTTTCAGTTTACTAGATGAAACAGACTTGCAACACAGTCTGCATGAATGCAAAATAAGCCATCTACAGCAAGTGATAAGGAAACTGGGCAAAAAGGAAAAAAGCATACATTGGAAAAAAAGATTCTCTCGAAATAAAAAAATCAAACCATTATTATAAGGGGCTTTACCAAGAATTGCTATATTTCCCCCATCCCACCAATTGCTGGAAGTCAACAAGAGCATCTACCACTGTGTTTATGTCAAATGTCAGATCAGAGCATTCTAACGCAAAGCAAAGGGAAAAAAACAAAAAGAAAACCCCTATGCCACCCTAAACCATAGAAGAGTAACTCCACAGAGTTCAAATTCAAAAGAAGAGAAAGTGGCAATTGAAAAAGGTGATGGTGGCGATAATCCTATGAATGGGTTTTTGATTTCTCTCCTTCCGGGGGATGGGTGGAGAACGCTCATTAGGATTTGTAGTTAGAGGTTAGCCATGTGAGCCCCTCATAGAGTCCATCCCCTGAGGTGGCACAGGAGGGCTGCACATACCAGTTCCTGTCCCGAATCCGGGTCAGGCCCAGTTTTTCCTGGATCTCGTGGGGTTTCATGGCATCAGGCAGGTCCTGCTTGTTGGCGAAGATGAGGATTATGGCGTCCCTCATCTCCCGGTCATTGATAATGCGGTGTAGCTCCTGGCGGGCCTCGTCGATGCGGTCGCGGTCGGCGCAGTCCACTACGAAGATCAGACCTTGGGTCCCGGTGTAGTAATGCCGCCAGAGCGGCCGGATCTTGTCCTGGCCGCCCACATCCCATACGTTGAACTTGACGTTTTTGTAAGTCACCGTCTCCACGTTGAAACCCACGGTGGGGATGGTGGTCACCGACTGGCCCAGCTTCAACTTGTACAGGATTGTGGTCTTGCCAGCCGCGTCCAGCCCCAGCATGAGGATCCTCATTTCCTTGTTCCCGAAGATTTTGGATAGCACCTTCCCCATCGCGTCGGAGGAGCCGGGGCCGGGGGCATTCAGGTCTACCGGGTCCCCTCAGCCAACAACTCTGCCGCCGCCGCCGCGAAAACGAAACGAAGCCTCCCTGCTGCGAGGGCGCCCCTGCGGCCTTCGCTGGGAGTTGCCGCCTAAGGGCAGAGGCCGAGGCCCAGGCCCGCTGCTCACTCGGGCATCCCCGACCGAACACCCTGATTCCTCCAGTCGCCGCCGCTGCCGGGGCCCTGAGTCTGCGCCGGGAGAGCCGCCGCCCTGCTGAGGCGCGGCCCGGCCCGGAACTGCCCTTCCCCCCCGCCGGCGCCGCACGAGCGCCGCCGCGGTTCCCGCTCCTCCGCCTTCTCCTCACCCAGCCACGGGAGACTGAGGCTCTCCGGCCGACCGAGTCCGCAAGCACCGGGTTCACCACCGACCCAGGCCACCCGAGAGGCAGTGCGGCTCCGGCGCCTCCTCAGGTCATTGATCCTCGCGGGAACTCGGTTCGCTGCCTGCAGAAAACACAGAGAGAAGAGCGAAGTTACTGCTCGAGCTCCAAAAGGGAGCGGGGTCCGAGGGGCCCGCCCTTCCAGCTCGGCACGGGGGGTTACCTCCAGCCGCCGCCCCGAGCGCGGGCTCCCTCCGGCCTCCGCCTCCTCCACCCAGCTCTGCCGCCGCCGCCGCCGCCGGAAAAGGCGCGGAGCAAACCGCCTCACTTCCCCTCCCGACCACGCAGGCGCAAGAGAGGCCGACCGTTCGCACAAGAGCGACCTCTGTAAGACCGGCCCGCGCGCCTAGCGTCCTGGGCGCCACGCGCAGGAGGGGGCGGAGCTACGGTGGCTCGGAAGGCTCGCAGGTGCACCCCGTCCTGAGGCCCGCGAACCTTGGATTCTGACCTGCGTCCAGCTGTCACTACTTTAACGTCTCCACGTTTCTATGCATTTCTTTTCCGCCCTCTGTCCTGCTCACTTCTACCCGAACTAAGGGAGTAAATCCACCTGGACGCCATATAGTGGAGATCGCGGGCAACCCGCTGCCATGACGAACGCCTCCCCCACGCTGCTTCCAGGCCTTTTCTCAGACCTCAGTGCTCGCCAAATGCTCTCCGAGTTCCCTTCATCCCCCTCGAGCCTCCGCGCACGCTTGATCTCCCAGGGAAGCCCTATCTGCTGTTTTTACCTCCTCCCGGACCCCTCCTTGGCTTCCTTTATCTCTCGTGTTCTGTGTGTTTTCTGAAAGACACGTGGGAGGTCAGTGTTTCGTGCAGAATCTGTCAGTGCTGCGCTTTTACCGGGACAGGTTTGCTCTGAAGACTTTCTTTTGACTAGTTGAGACCTATCTCTATGTGTCTCGTCAGGACCAGCCCACGTTTCTTAAAAATTACAGCGTCATCATGAATTCCCGTACCTTGCCGCGCTTTCTCCTTTTTTAGGATGCTAAAGGTTTTTGTATTTAAATATCATCTCCTTGCTGTGATAAGTAGTAGTTTCTCAGTAAATACTACCAACCAAGGGGGAAAATGAGCCGTGGTGGCGCAGTGGTTAAGAGCTTGGCTGCTAACCAAAAAGTTGGCAGTTGAATCTACCAGCCATTCCTTGGAAACCCTATGGGACAGCTCTACTCTGTCCTATAGGGTCTCTCTGAGTTGGAATCAGTCGATGGCAATGTGTTTGCTTGTTTTTAAGGGGAAAAAAACCCTGAAATGGTTTTTTTTTTTAAAAAATAGAGAAAGATGCTATAATATAGCGTGTGCTAACATTATTTCAAAATTTAAGTAAATTAATAATGGCTGATAGGTTAAATGATAACCTAAACTTCAGCATGAAATGAATTTGTTATTAATATTCTAACAGTGATCTAATTTTCTTAAAATCTTTTACGAGGCACTGTAGTAAAACTGGAAAAAAAATTTAGAATCAGAGGATTGGAGTTCGAATGTCGCCTCTGCATTTCATAACTATGAATCCTTAAGTCTCAACTTTTATGAACTCTCGTTTCTTTACCTGTGAAGTCACGTTAAGGTATTATCCCTAATGAAAATAGCCACCGTTTATTGAGTGTTTATTATACCAAATACTGTAGTAAATACTTTAAATATTTTAATACAGCAACCACATGAGGTAGCTTTGAGTATTAACAATTTACATATGAGGAAACTGAGAGTCAGAGAGGTTAAGTAATTTTTCAAAGGTCACAGAACTAAGATTAAATCATGAATCCACAGCCCATGCTCTTAACCCGAAAATTGTGCTAGCTCCCTGTCTACGTCACACAGTTTGTTTTTAGACTCAATTGCAGTATTTCTTAAAGTGCTTTATAAACTATGAAGTGCCATTAGTCATTGCTATACTTGGAAGAATTTTTTAGTCTGTGGCAAATAGATGCAAATATTATATTTTGATCCATTTGAACATAATCGTTTTCTCAAAGCAGATTACAGTTTTTACAAGTAAATGGGAGATTGATCTGCTGGGCTTAGAATCTTTATATATGCATATATAGATACATAGTTAAGGAATAGCCTTTATTTTTCAGTGGAGGGCATGATATAATTAAAAACAGAAGCAATATGAAGCACTAGCATCTGCCTGGCACTGGCACTGTGCTAAGACTAAAAATTTTCTTTTTAAAAGCCATTTCCCACTTATATTCTCCAGAATGCAAGCTTCATGGAGACTTTGTCTTGTTTAGTAGAAGATCCCAATGACTAGAAGAAAGCATGTAAGTAGTAGCTAAATCATTATTCGAATAAATTAATGCCTTTTATGATACTACGAGGTAAGGCAAAACAAGACAGAAAAGGCACATACTATTTTTATGTTAAATAATAGGTTAATTGACAAGCTTTTCATACAATGGCTTATTTTAGAGTATTAGATATCTAAAGTGGATCATCATACTAAAAATTATACAATGAATTATTTTAAGTAATAATCATAACACACGACAAATAAACCCATTGCCATCTAGTTGATTCTGACTCATAGCAACCCTATGGGACAGAGTAGAACTGTCCTGTGGGGTTTCCAAGTAGCTGCTGGAGGATTCGAACTGCTGACCTTTTGATTAGTAGCCATAGCTCTTCACCACTGGTCAGAAAAGAAATACATTGAAAAATTTGAATGTTGTGTGTATAATCATGCCAGTTTAAAAAAGAATTGAATTTTAATGAAACCAAAACATCTAGAAGAGGTAACAATTTAGACAACCACTAAATCATACCACTGATATAACATTTTGTTGCTTTCCTCTTTAGTTTTAATGGTATTAACAATTTAAAAAGACTAAATTTCAATTTTAAAAATACTATTTCCTTTTGGTAAAGTATTTTATGGATAAACTAAAATTGACATTTATGAAACAAAATATTACACCTTTCAGTTTGCATTGTTTCACTGTTTCTAAGTTTTAAACGCAAAGTTCCAAAAGCCAGCTCTGCAAAAATTGGTCTCTGCTTTTAATTCAAAGCCTGTAAATGAAGAGATTCCTCTAGCTTACTTACAAACCATGCTTCCCTAGAAAACCTCATTTCATAATTTCTAATCTAACAACCACAAAATGTGCTTAAGACATCCTGACTAAAATACCAGCTTATAAGAAAAATATTTACTTTTTAAAAATGGCTTATGTTTTCTGATTTTAAGATGAATGATGACAACAGTAACTCAAAAAGATAGATGAGAAGCTTAGGAGGCAGTAAGTTTGTGTTAATGATGGTGAAATAGTTTGGAAAAGGTTGTTGAGAAAGGTGGGATAATTTGAAGAATATAACCAATGTCACTGAATTACATGTAGCAATTGTTGAAGTGCAGTATGTTTTGTTGTGTATATTTTCATCAAAAATAAATAAGTGAATAATTTCTTTTTAAATTGAATGAATGAGCCTTCTCTAATAATAGCACCCCTCACTGTTTACCCCTATTTCAGAATTCCTATAGCTCAATCCTTCAGTATTACAATGCGACGCTTGAATTTTTTCTTCAGTTCTTTCAGCTTGAAAAATGCTGAGCATGTTCTTCTCTTTGGTTTTCTATCTCCAGGTCTTTGCACATTTCATTATAATACTTTACTTTGTTTTCTGGAGCTGCCCTTTTGAAATCTCCTGTTCAGCTCTTTTACTTCATCATGTCTTCCATTCACTTTAGCTACTCCACATTCAAGAGCAAGTTTCAGAGTATCTCCTGACATCCATTTTGGTCTTTTCTTTCTTTCCTGTCTTTTTAATAACCTTAGGGTTGCTATGAGTCAGAAGTGACTTGACAGCAATGAGTTTGGTTTGCTTTCTTCATGTATGATGTCCTTGATGTCATTGCACAACTCGTCTGGTCCTCAGTCATTAGTGTTCAATGGGTCAAATCTGTTACTGAGATGGTCTCCAAATTCAGGTGGGATATACTCAAAGTAGTACTTTGGCTCTCCTTGACAGTCACACAGCAGTCAAGAAATCAAACGATGTATTACATTAGGCAAATTTGCTGCAAAAGATCTCTTTAAAGTGTTAAAAAGCAAAGATGTCACCTTCAAGACTAAGGTGCACCTGACCCAAGCTAGACAACGAATAAGGAAGTCCAAAGAAGAATTGATGCATTGAATTATGGTGTTGGCAAAGAATATTGAATATACCATGCACAGCCAGAAGAATGAACAAGTCTGTCTTGAAAGAAGTGCATCCAGAATGCTCCTTAGAACCAAAGATGGCAAGACTTCGTCTCACATACTGTGAACATGTTATCAGAAGGGACCAGTCCCTGGAGAAGGACATCATGCTTGGTAGAGAGTCAGCAAAAAAGAGGAAGACCCTCAGTGAGATAGATTGACATGGTGGCTGCAACAGTGGGCTTAAACATAGCAAAGATTGTGAGGATGGCACAAGACCAGGCAGTGTTTCATTCTGTTGTACGTAGGGTTGCTGTGAGTTGGAACCCGCTCAACAGCACCTATCAACAACGTAACTCTTTTACTCATTCTCTATGACCTGGCCATGTTCTTTTTATCCTATCCAGTGCCAAGGACAATTGTGATCCCATGGTGAGATAGACTGACTGTACACTTGTTTAATGAAGATATCATCCCGTTATTGTTTTATTTTGAGTCCTTAGTCCAGTCTTACCCAGAAATGAGCTCTATCTAGTTTAAAGAAGGCACAGAGTCCAAGAAAATCTATAAGAGAGTAGAAATAAAGAGTATATAAGAAAATATAGTATGTAGAAAAATTACTAATTCTTTTCAACTGTAACTATTAATTGGGGCAAAGAGAATTAGCCTTCCCTCAGTATTATACCTATGTGTTTATATAGCTCTCCAAGGGAGATTCTATGTCCTTTTCATTTTTGGATCCTTAGTGCCTAGCGTAATGCCTGGCATATAATGCAATAAAGTTCAAACATTTTGATGAAAACACAGTAACGATTGAGATTCTCAGCAATAAATCTAGAAAATCCAATGAAAACAAATCATTTCATTTGCAAATAACTTTAATGGATGTAACTTTGTAAATATCTTTAAATATGTGAAGGGACACTTATGGAAACCAAAATGAAAGTCCTCTCCATCGTCCTCTCCCTGTACCAGCTGACGACCAACTTTTCTAGTTTTTCCTCTTTAACCAAAAAAAAAAAAAAAAATCACATCTTGGTTGAAACCTTGGTAATTACTTTGGGTATACCTGAGTCTGAAGACTTCATCTCATTTTTAACAAGATTAAAAGTGGGAATGGTAGAACTAAAAACAAAGGTTTGAATTATAGTTGATATTTCAG